TTATTGATCACATATAGTGAGGGAGTTAGGATTTATTGATAGATGAGCCAATTTTTTTGTTTAAAAATCAAGATTATACTTACACCTACATATATGTAATTATAAATAAAAACATTACAAAAAAACCTGAAATTGAAGTTGATCTTAATATTTCCAAAATATTTTCACATCTTGAAGCTCCAAGTTCAATATCTCACCTGTAAAATCGAATATAAATATATATATATATATATATATTTTATACAAATGTAACTAACATTTTGTGCTCAATAAAAAGGCAACAATTATGTTAAATTCATACACCTCAAAATATCAATTTTTTTTTCTTATCTATTAGTTGTGCTCAACGATCTTTAATTGAGACAAACTCATCTATAATCAATTCACTACTAAATTTTGCAGCAATTTCCTTCTCAATGTAGACAATTAGGCAATCATTCAAAAAATCATCTTAACATCTTGTTTCGTAGTTTTGTCTCGACTATTTTCATGACTGAACTTGGCTTGGAGGTGGCTGCAGAGTGGAGCCCAACATTCAAGGAGAACAAATCAACAATTTGATTATCGCTTTGAACTTGGCCTGCGCGACAACTTTTTCTTTTTTCTTTTTTCTTTTTTTCTCTTGGATGAAAAGTGGTGATATACGCAATTCATATTGAGAATAGAAAACTGAAGAGCTGCTTCCCTCGCAAGTTTTTGGTATAGATAAATAAAATATCACTTTTTAGTATAATGTGTTAGTATTTTAGGGCTCGTTTATTTTATGCGTTTAAATTAATGATTTTGATTCTGTTAGAGTATTTTTATCTTATAAAAAATTTAAAAATTAAAAATTAAAATTTAGAATCACTGATTTAAACGTATAAATCAAACAAGCCTGTAATTGGGCTATTATAATTGTAATTCAAATTTAGATTTTGGGACAAGTCACTAGGCCCACTAAAATTGAAAATTTTATTTTTAAAAATCTAAATGGTCGACCTACTAAGATATAGATAACTAATAATTTAAAGTGACTAAGTCTAATTTATATAGATATCTACTGTATCAAAATTAAAATCACTATATATTAAAAAAAAAAACAAGATCTAGAGGGCCATTTTCCCCAGCCCCCCTTGCTCCGTCATTGATCACATATGGGGTAAAAATGTTGAATTAAGAGCTTGAATTATGCCCAACACCATTGCTCATGTATTAAGGTTCAAGCAAAGTAAAATGGGCCACATGCAATGTCAAGAAATCATAAATACCAAGTGGGATATGTTTGACTTTTGGGAGTCCAAAGTTTGACCTTCTGCTCAAAGGAACGATGTTGATGTGAGGTGCAAGTGAAAGAATCATGGTCCATAACTAGATTATGAGACGTTTGGTTCATAAATTAGAATTATAATATTAGAATTATTTTTGATTTACTTGTATTTTTTGTGAGAAAAAATACTGTAGTGAATCATGAATCATGATTCAAATCAGAAAACGAATTCTCCAACCAAACGGGCTCTCACTTTTTTTTCTAAGAGTTTTCACAGTCGGTTTGAGTATTTTTTTTTAGAAATCACCAATTAAATTTGTTACACCATGGTCGAGAAATCGACCATTCTCTCAAACGACAAGCGCCGAGGACTTCCCGTTGAGAATCTTTCGCTGGCGTCGAGGGAACCACTGTAGCTAAAGTGCCCTTTGGATGTCGAGAGCCCATGCGGGGCGATGCGCGTTGAGCACCATGACTCGACTTGTGCTGCTGGCCATTACGTCGAGGCAGCATGTCCAATCAAATCCATCAACAATTTTGTCAACTCAGGGAAGGATGCACTGTGCCAACTGCTACTGTCACGCCCCCAAACCGGGGTTAGTGACGTGGAGGCTCGTTTAGAAACTTAAACTTGTTTGAGAGAGCGATTAGCAAAATAATTTTATTTCTTATAAATCCAAAACATCCAGGTATTTCCAAACGAGCCCCCTTTTCATTCAAGAGGAATTCAAATTCAAGAACGGTGGTGGAATTTCTAACCAAACCAGTTTAAAATCACGTCCCCGGTATCCTGTTAGGAATTCCCACAGGTGTTTAGCATACATGAATATAAATAAGAGTAAATATGACATCAACCACAGTCTAGTAATATTTAAGTTTACAATCCACAATCTTTCATACATGCCTTGAAATAAAAGATAAGAGGAAATATAACTCTTCACTTTCCGAGGTCAAGTCTACGTCACCAGTAGTAGCTACCTACTCCGCACCACTCCTCGCGTCTCCTGGAGGGGTTTAATACATTTAAAAACAAGAAAGGTGAGCGCAAGGCCCAGTAGGATATAATTTTTATAAAGCATTTAAAATAATGGTACTCACAGTTCGAAGATATACTCCCGGGACCGATCATCCCTTTTTAGAAAAGGAAATACTCACAGTAGAAAATATATGTATAATGAAAGTGTGCAGCTCTTCATACCACTAAACAAGAAGCGGTAAAAATGTCTGTCTATGAAAAGTGCAGAGCCATAATTCCACTAAACAAGAAGTGGACCCCTACGGTTTTCGGGACCTGCCCCTAAGGATGCGATTCCCACATCCCGATCTCTGTGACTACCAAGCGTTGTATCATTCCTTAAATATTTCATTTTAAGAAATGATACTCTTTAAAATCTCATTTCCAAAATCATTGGAAACCCTAATAGCATTCACATGCTATTGCTTTCAAAATCATTTACTTTAATCATGTTTTGTTCTAAAACATTTTCATTGGCCAAATCATTTAAAGTAAGGCTAACAAGGATATGGACAAGAATATCCTACCTGTTGGATATCAAACCTGTGGCTGTCTTCACGTAGCCCTAGCTCCGCTTGCCTTCGAGGCTCCAATTTCAATCGTGCCACTATCTTTCCCATAAAAATTAATAATTTAGAGTTTGACCTTTCTCATCAAACATTCTCGTTTAATTAGATGCAATTGTATCATATTAGTGTGCCATAGTTTAAAATCAATGTTCATAAATAATTTTTAATTCAAATCATGATTCTTTGACAATGGAAATTTATTCCAGAGAATCGGATGGAAAACAAGGATTCATGTGGCTAATCCACTCATTTTGAGTTCTCAAATGAGGTTAGGTCAATCCCACATCAAGTTTTGGGGTCAAAACAGGGTTTTTAAACCGGTCGACCGGTGACAGAGAAGTGTAACTCCACCGGTCAGCCGGTGGAGAGGTGACCGGTCGACCGAATCGGTCGGCCTATGGAAGGGTGACCGGTCGACCGGACCGGTCAACCGGTGGGGAAGAATTTCCAGTGCCAATAATGGCCGATTCGTGAGAAACAAAGCCAAAACCTGCAATTTTGGGTCCGATTTTGACATATTCTCAAGGGAAATGTATAGATCCAGTTTCAGATAAACAAATGGGGTCCAAAGAATCAAAAACCCCCAATTTTCATCAAGGTTTCACCAAATCCCATTCGGATTCCATTCAAAACAAAATTTAAAGTAAAAATCACCAAAACTCGACTAAAACGAGTTCCACAAAGCTAAATCCGAAAATCTAAAGTAAGTTTCAAAGAGTTTTACCTCAACCCAAGCTTTGATGTTGAAAATGTCTTAGAAATCCCCGTTTTTCTTCAAATCCGGTTCAAGAACGTTCTTGAGAGAGAGAGAAAACTTGAGAGAAAGATAGAGGAAGAGATAAGCGAGAGGGAGAGAGAGAGAGAGAGAGAGAGAGAGAGAGCTCGAGCTCGGTGAGGGAGAGAGTAAGAGAGAGTGTGAGTGAGTGAGAGGGTTACGGGAAAGGAGGGAAAAGGAAAAGAAAGAAAGAAAAGAAAATAAAAGAAGAAAAGGAAAATAAAATGAGGAAAAGAAATAATAAAGAAAGACAAATAAAAGTAAATAGGGGTGAAACTTCAATTATCAAAAATAAATTTAAAAGTTCATGATTAATTAAGAAATCAATTTAGACACACTAATAAATCACAATTATCATAATTAAACAAGTTTAATTCTGGAGGGCGTTACAGCTACTGTCGCAGCCAAGAAGTCAAGTAGTCGGTGGGAGATGTTGGCTTGATTTTCTGAGATTGTCATCATGAAAATGCACCTACGCCACCCCTAAATCCCGGGATAGAAGATTGCTCCCTCGAGGAATGCATATGAGATCATTATATGTAAAGGCCTATAAATAGAGCCAAAAAACCCATTGAAGGGTTACGCACTATTCCATTATAGAAACCCAAAGTGGACTAGGCCAAGAAACCTTGCCGAACCACTATAAATCCTTGTCTTCTTTACATTATTTTATTGTTTTAATCTCTAATTAACTCATGAGCGTTACTGTGAGAATTCCCGGAGAGGTAATTACGAGTTGTCAGAAAAATACCGTCAACAAAATTAAATATAATTTTTTCTTTTAAGCGGTTTGAACGGTTTGATAATTTTAACAAAAATCAAATTAAACCAAATCATTCTTAAGCGGTTTGAGCGATTTGAACTTAAGACGAAAAAATTTTCAATAATTCATAAAAATTATAAAATTATTATTATAAAAATAAAAATAAAATTTAAATTTACAACAACTCAAAAATAACAAATGTCTAAAATTTACCATTTAAAGTTTTAACACAAATTAAAAAAATATAATAAGATGTATTTTATAAGTGTTGTTTCTTTATTATGACTAATAAAAACTAAAATAAATATAAAAATATTTTAAAAATAAAACATTATATATGTATATTTTTAGTAAATTATAGAACAATTTAAAGAGTTCAAACCATAAATCAAACTAACTAAAAAAATTAAATTAAAAAACTGATTAAATTACCTAATAATATAAAAATAATTAACCATTTAATTTGATTTGATTTTAACTGAACGGTTTGCACGATTTCACGGTTTTGTTTTTTACACCCTACCCTACTTTTTTCAACTATACGTTACAGAAAGGAAAGGGAAATAAAAATTTAAAACCAGTAAATCACAAGCAAAACTTCAAAAAAAGGGAAACCAATAAATGAGAAATGGCAAAATCAGAAAAAGGAAAAACAAAAGCGAAAAATCTACGCCCCCTCGTTCCCACCCACCCAAAATCCCTCACAACACAGCAGGGATAATATAGCCAAACTCCTTTTAACTTTCTCTCTCTCTCTGTAAAAAAACCCATTTTCTCTCTCTAAAAAATACCAACCCAAAACCCCTTCCTTCTCTCTCTTTCTCTCTCTATATTCCTGAAATGGAGTCCCTGGATTCGGAGCCGTGTTTCGTGGACGAGCTGTTGAACTTCTCGTCGGACATGGACGAGGAAGACGACAACAAACCAAGGAAAGCCCTAGCCTCCTCGCTCAGGCCCAATGGGCTTCTGGGCCCGGCCGGCGATTCCGTACGGCCCTTCCATGTAAGTCTCGCGTTGTGTTTCCTTGTTTTCTTTCCTTTCGGGAGAGACCGAGTTTTGTTTGGTGGCGACTCGGCCGAGTCTTCGCAGGGTTTTTGCCTTTTTTGGCTCGGAAACGAGTCGACTCGGTTAGGTAGAGCAAATATTCCGCCCGCCCGAGTCGACTCGACTCGGTCGATTTTACGACTCGGGCGATTTTACGGAGGTGGGGGACACGATACTAATGAAGATTGGGTGGTTTCTGAATGATTATTTTGATAACGGGAAGCAAAAACATCTTCACAAAGACGGTTTTATCCCTGGAGACCCTGTTAATGAGCGGGGTAGCTACTGGACAAAACCGGAATTAGACGTCCTTATTGTTGGACCCGTTTATTATAAATAATTATTGCCCACTTGCAAGTTGTGACTTTTTTTGTGATCGTGAGCTGTTCTTCACTAAATGCAAAAGTTAATAAATTCCCTTATTTAAAGAACATTCATTAAAAAGTTCCGCTCAATAAAATTTAATTACGAAAAGACAATATTATCCATATGGAAATATTCGCACATCCTTGTCCGAACGCCTGCTCAAGTTTGGCACTTTGTCTAGTTTTACGCTTACTGGATCAACTCGTTAAGCGCGGCGCGTCGGACTGAGTTACTGGCTCACTCGTTCTTTTTTTGTTTTTTTTGTTTTTTTTGAGCAGGAATTGGTAGAGGAAGAGCTGGAATGGATATCGAACAAGGACGCTTTCCCGGCAGTGGAGTCATTCGTGGGCATTCTCCCCGACAACCCGAGCGGTGCCATCCTGAAGCACCATAGCCCGGTATCGGTGCTCGACGGAGGCAGTGGGGGCAGCAGCACCATTAGCTGCAACAGCAATAGTAATTGCAGCAACAGCAGCAGCAGCATTGCTACTCTCACGAGCTGCTTCAGCAGCCTGAAGGCGCCGCGGCGGGCGCGCAGCAAGCGACGCTGCAGGCGCCGCGGTGGGGACATTACTGGCCGGCAACTATGTTGGAGCCAAGCTAACAATAATAACAACAACGAAAGTTTCACTGGCTATGAGAAAGCGACAAGGAAGACGACGACGATGACGACGACGATAATTGGGAGGAAGTGCCAGCATTGCGGGGCGGATAAGACCCCGCAATGGCGGGCTGGGCCTTACGGGCCTAAAACTCTCTGTAATGCTTGTGGTGTGAGATATAAATCCGGGAGGCTTGTGTCAGAGTATCGTCCGGCTAGCAGCCCGACTTTCTCAAGCGAGTTACATTCAAATTCGCACCGGAAGATATTGGAGATGAGGAGGACGAAGCAGATGATGGGGATGGTGGTGAAACATCCTCTGGAGTCTGGATAATGTGTGGAGTTCTTTGGTGAGTTAGTGGTTTTTTTTTCTTTTTTTTTTTTTTTTTAATTTTGTTTCCCATTTTTTAGCTAGCATAGTTAGGGTTAGTTAGTGTGTTCTTTGTAATGGAGGGATTAGATGGTTATTGGTTAGTGCAGTTCTTTGTTATGATCATGGAAAGAAAATATATTAGTAGGTGAGTTTTGACATTAGTGTGCTTGGTGGTCATGCTGTCTAGACTAGGAAAAAAAAGTGTTTTTTTTTTTTTTTTTTTCTTTTTTTCAATTTGGGTTTTAACCAAATTTACTTCTTTGCTTAAATTAAAGCTTGAATTTGGAGATGATTGATTTTGGTGAGTATTTGGGTTAACGGGTTTCCATCATTTTTGCCTTGTAGATTTATTTGATTGAGAGAATTCTTTGTTTTTATGATCTTTTTTAACTAACTTAGCTATAGACTAGTGGAGATATAAATGTACTCATTGCAGTTTAGCATTTTGTGTTTGAAAGTCTCTCTCTTTTTTTTTTTTTTTTTTTTTTTTTTTTTTTTTGAAGTTCTTTAAGCACAATGATGTGGTGGTGTTCACGTATTGTAAATTTCTTTTACGTCCAGGGGAATGATTATCTTTTTCTAAATTTAAATCATTCATAAATCACTTTCTTGCTTGTGGATATTTCCTTGTAGATGTTAAATTTTATGGCTGTTTAGTTAATGTATTTAAATTTATAATTTTGATTTTGTTATAACTGTTTTCCTTTATAAAAAATTTAAATAAAAATATTTCTGTCAATAATTCTCTCATAAAATTCTAGTTAATGAATTAGAATTACTGATTTAAATATATAAACTAAACAGGTCCTCCGGTTCTCTCTACTTAATTAGAAGGTTCAAACGTATGCGCAAACTGTTATTTTTGACTTGATTGTCAGATCTGTACGACCATAAAAACTACTTATGAAGCAGGTTTTTAGCCAACTTGTGGACAGACTCTTTTAAAAACTGGACCTAAATTGAGCATTCCTTTAAGCCACTAGGACCTAAAGTGAATTTTAAATGGATGACCCTCTCATTTAATGAAACTCTTCTGATTTCCCAAATGTCCTTTGTCCCTAAAAACAAAAAATTGAAATATCAGGGGTGAAGAAAAAAACTCTCAAAAACGTACAAATTTCCTCTCGTCCTAAGCTAACTGCACCGTCCAAAGGCAAACGTTGGCGCTGCTCCTTACCGTCAGAGATGCCCCTTGCCGACGTTCATTGTCAGCGGCATACATTTCGTTCATACTCTGGTGTTGATTTTGGCATTAAGGAGAGGAAGCTCCAAGCTTGGTAAAATTTTTGAATCCTCTCTTCTTTTTTTTTTTTTTTTTTTTTTTTTTTTTTTTAAATTTTTTTTTAATTT